AGGGTCAGAGGGAGAAGCAGGCTCCCCGCTGAGCCGGGAGCCCGATGTGGGACTCGATCCCAGGACTCCGGCATCATGACCTGAGCCGAAGGCAGTCGCTTAACCAACTGAGCCACACAGGCGCCCAAAAATCTTCATTATTCAATGCATATTTATATAACTAATGTTATACATTTTGTGCTTACCATCTTCACCTATTTATTTTCAGTTGTAATCACCTTTTAAGAGAACATTTTCCTTTTATTTGCCTATAATATGTCGAAAAGTGCCCAGATGTAATATAACTCAATCATTTGAAAGTGAAAACTTATGTTACTTCCATTCCACTTAAGAAGCTACTTAAATGCACCTCCAAAATCACTTTCCCTTTTTTCCCCCAAATGTAGCCAGTTTTAACTTGATAACTGTTATTAATTTTTACCTGTTTCCTGAACTTTATCTAAATGGAATTGCACAAAATGTGTTAGTGTGTGCCTGTGTTTGTGTGTTCTTCGTATTTGTCATTCATCATTCTATGGAATCATCCCTATTTCCATGTGTAGTTGGAGTTCACTTAATTTGTTTTCTCCCTAGTAGTTTATTTTACCACTATAGTATCAGTTGTTTATCCCACTGTTGAGGATTTTGCATTGTTTCTCCTTATGTCTGTTTCAAATAATGCTCCCATAAATATATTAAAAAATTTTTCAGTGCCCATGTGCACAATTTTCTCTATTATTTAAGTAAGATTGAAATTAGTAGAACAAAATATATACATATATTCATCTTTAATATATCAAACAGCTTTCTCAAATGTTTTTACCCATTTACACTTGTGCTGGCAGTGTATTGCTCTACATCATCTCCAAAATTTGGCACTGTCAGATAGTTGCCATTTTGCTGGGTATGTTTAGTATTTCCATTTTATTTTTCCTGATTTATAAATGAAGTTGAGCCCCTTTCTTTCTTATTATTGGCCATTTTTATATCTTATTTTGTACAATAGCTATTCAAGTCTCTGCCTATTTTTCTATTGTGGTGCATTTTCTATTGTTTTTCAAAATTTCTTATATTCTGGATATAACATCTTTCTTGCTTATGCATTCTTCTGCTCTTCATTAGTTTTTTGGTGAATAGAAATTTTTAATTTTAGTTATGTTCAATTTATCAATCTTTTCATCTTTATTCTGTGTCATGAAGATAATTTCTTTGGTATTTTTTGTTTCATGTTCATCTTAGATATACAATCCTTTTCCAGTTTTTTTTTTTTTGTGTGACATAGGGGTCAAGATTAATTTTCCCTAATGACATTCAACTAAAGCAACATTTCTTAAAAGTGAATTCCATGTTTTTACAAAATAATTATCCATTCTATAGGTATGATCTTTTTTGTTGTTCTAATCTACTAGACTTTAAAAAGAAGGTTTTTAAAGTCAATGCCATGTTTCCTCTTTTATTTCAACCAAAATTTGTATATAAATTCCATAAGAATAACTTAGGGAGGTTCTTATTTGGAATACATTGAATCTAGTTAGAAATGTGGATTCCTGGGTGGCTGAGTAGGTTAAGCATCTGATTCTTGATTTCAGCCCAAGTCATGATCTCAGGGTCGTGAAATTGAGCCCCACATTGGGCTCTGCACTGATCTTGGAGCTGCTTAAGATTCTCTCTCTCTTTCCCACTCCCTCTGCCCCTCCCCCCTTGTTCCTGCACACTCTCTCAAAATTAAAAAAAAAGGTACATATGAATGTATAGTGTGTTTTTGTATTGACATATTATCCAGCTAACTTGTTAAAATCATATTAATTCTAATAATTTATCTTTAGGTGCTTTGTATTTTTTGATATAGACAATCATGCTGTCAACAAATAATGATAGCTGTAACTTTTTCCTTCCCGATTCTTATACCCATTATATCTTTTGTGTGCTTTAATGGCATTGAATTGGACACTAGTATTATGGTAAATAGAAATGGCAATACTGAGCAACCTTGTCTCATTTACGAAATCAAAGGAAAATTTTAAATAATTTATCTTTGGGCGCCTGGGTGGCTCAGTCAGTTAAGCATCTCCCTTTGGCTCAGGTCATGATCCCAGGGTCCTGGGATTGAGCTCCCCCCCATCTGCTTCTCCCTCTGCCCCTCCCCCTGCTTGTGCTCTCCCTCTCTCTCTCTCCCCTCTCAAATAAATAAATAAAATCTAAAAAAAATAATTTATCATTATGTTTGGTGTAGTTTTTTAAAAAATCCTTAAAAATTCCTTCCTACTTCTCTTTCTTTTTTGTCTTTATCTGGATTGGTATATTTTAATTACTCATTTTCTCTACTATCTTTTCAATTATACAGTACATTCTTTTACTAATTTCTTTATTGATTTCCTGGATTTTAAAACAAGCATCACTGACTTGTTAAAATTTAAATTAAATTAGTGCTTTTACCACTCTCAGACAATGCTAGGACCTTGAATAATAACTCCATTTGTCTGCTTCCACTTTTGTTTGGTATATGCCTTTCAGTTATACATTTATTCTAGGCACAGATGACATTATTATCATGTTTTGTACACTTACATTTGTTTTTGTTTCTTTCTGGGATCATTTTTCCCCTGAAGAAATTCTTTAATATTTCTTTTAGTGGTGGTTAAGAATTCTCCAACTTTTTGTATATCAGAACTATGCTTATTTCATCATCACTTTTTTTTTTTAAGATTTTTACTTATTTATTTGTCAGAGAGAGAGAGCACAAGCAGGGGGAGCAGCAGAGAGAGAGGGAGAAGCAGGCTCCTCACTGAGCAAGAAGCCTGATGTGGGACTCGATCCCAGGACCCTGGGATCATGACCTGAGCCAAAGGCAGACGCTTAACGACTGAGCCACCCAGGCGTCCCTTCATCATCACTTTTTTTTTTTTAAAGATTTTATTTATTTATTTGACAGAGAGACACAGCGAGAGAGGGAACACAAGCAGGGGGGGCGGGAGAGGGAGAAGTAGCTTTCCGCGGAGCAGGGAGCCCGATGCGGGGCTCGATCCCAGGACCCTGGGATCATGGCCTGAGCCGAAGGCAGACACTTAACGACTGAGCCACCCAGGCGCCCCTCATCATCACTTTTGAAAAAGAGTTTTGCTGAGTATCAAATTCTGGGTTAGAAGTGATTTTTTTCCGAGCACTTTCAAGATGATATCCCTGAAATGAATGCCATTCTTGAAATAAATTGCTGTAAGTTTATTGTTCAGGTAGTGTGCTTTTTTTCTTTTCCTCCAGCTGCTTTTTTATAATTACTTAGTTTTTTATTTTCAGTGGCTTTATTATATGATCAATTTTCGTTTTCTTTGATTTTATCTTGTTTGCAGTATTGAAAGCCTCTTGAATATGTGGCTTGGTATCTTTCATCAGTGCAGAAAAATTTCAGCAGTCTGCCTTCAAATATCACTTCTGCATCATGTTTTTTATCCTCTTCTTCTGTAACTCAAGGGATATGTATGTGAAATATTTTCACTATATCTCTCATATCTTCTATGCCCCTGTCTGTTTTTTTGAAGATAATTTTTGGTCTCTTTATTACATGCTGGATATTTGTTCTGACCAGTCTTCTAAATCAGCACTTTTCTCTTCTTAGTTCAATCTGCTAATAAAATCATGAATGTAATCTAAACTTCAATTGTGAAATTTTTTAGCTTTAGAATTCTAGCTTTCCTTTCTAAAATAGTTTCAGTTTTCTGGTGAAATTCTTTATTTTAGTATGTGTTTATTTCAATATAGTAATCACAGTTTATTTGTGCTCTATCAGATCACTGTAGTAAGTGGATAATATGTGTGCCTTTTTTATTGTGATATTTTTTTCTCATGATCCTCTTGCTTGGTAAGTCTGACAATTTTGTAGCGAATTCTGGATATTGTGCTTGAGAAGTTATAGTTGTTGTAGATGTCATTATTCTCCTTAAAATATGGATAATGGGGCACCCGTGTGGCTCAGTCGGTTAAGCAGCTGCCTTTGGCTCAAATCCTGATCCCAGGGTCCTGGGATAGAGCCCCGCATTGGGCTCCCTGCTCTGCGGAGAGCCTGCTTCTTCCTCTCCCTCTGCCTGTGGCTCTGCCTATCTGTGCTTTCTCTATGTCTCTGTCAAATAAATAAAATCTAAAAAAATAAATAAATAAAAGATGGATAACATAAATATCTCATAGATATGGATTTAGGGCATTTATGGAAAAGTTTTAATTGAAATAAATATTTTATTTCTTTTCCTTTTTTATCTCCTATAATGATGTCTGTCATTACAAATTTTCTGAACATTTTTTTTCTTTCCCACTCACTTCCCAGTTCTATTTTGTAGTATGTGAAATAAAGTTAGTAGAATAAAAATTTTTTACTTTATTTGAAACTTTGTTTCTTCCTCCTCACCACTAAATCATAAGAACCAAGCTTATTGAAGTTTATTACTGTTTAATTACCCTGCTTTCTTCTTTTTCACCCTCGACACTGGTTAATGCTATAAGAATCATGCACCTCAGCAAGTTTCTACTGACTTGACCTAGGATTTTAAAACTGAATATAACCTAAAAGATCATAATTTCTCTCAATTAAATGATGAATAAACTGTGGCTGAGACATAAAAAACTTGCTTGAGGCTACGTGGATATTATTATGAATACAGGTAATAGAACCAAAAGTTTTAAATTTTAGCTCTGTTGTCCCTTTCCACTTTTAAATGAGCCTATTTGGCAATAATAAAGGCAATAGGATTGTGAGTAAAAACTATACTTAATGTACTTTACTTTTTCACTTAGAGGTACTTTGAAATTACTCTCAGATTTTTCTCCCCAGAGTGGATATAAAATATAAATATTTTAGCACAGTATTTTATAGGGAAATTGGACCATTAAAAAGTAATGTAAAGATATATACCATATGCACTAATGTGCTTTCATAGGATAATGTTTCATAATTAATTTTTTGGTCAAATTTGACACAGCTGCATAAATTATTTATAAATCTCTAAAAGATTGCTTCAACTTCACCTGTTGTTTCTGAGCAGCGTGGTAGACCTATGTGAATTTTTACAGATAGGAGAGAAATATAGCTTATTAAAATTTTATTCTGGAGTTTTGTAGGTAATGAAGGGCATCTAGATTCCAATGCAAAGTTAAATTTTCTAGTGTAACATCTTCTTGGAATGCTTCCCATTATATTAAGTAGAGATTCCTCAAAACTCTACCTGATTTTCTTAACCTAAATTCATGGTCAAGGAAGGAGTTTAATTTCTATGACAAGGTTTAAATATAATTAAAAATTTAAAGAAACTAGCAAGTGAAAAGATCAGTTAATAAGGTAATCTATAATATTTAATTGAAAGAATGGTTTGGAAAAAGATTTAAAGAATTTTCTCCACCTATGGAGTTGTCTTTGGAATTAAGACCAGAGAGCCTATAATTGTTGAGAACTTAACCTCCTCCTAAACAGTTGAGCATTGAAAGACTAATGCAGGTGATAATTCAAAAACTTAATATTATCTAACAGATGTGAAGATGGGTCAAATGTCAAGAGTCTTGTTTTCTCTTGAAATATCTACATATTGGGGCACCTGGGTGACTCAGTTGGTTAAGCGTCTGCCTTTGGCTCAGGTCATCAACCCAGGGTCCTGGGATCGAGCCCTGTATTGAGCTCCCTGTTTGGCGGGGAGCCTGCTTCTCCCTCTCCCCTGCTTGTGCTCTCTCTCTCAAATAAATAAAATCTTAAAAAAATAAACATCTATGTATTTACATAAAAAATTACAAACTGAAAGAAGTATGTGAAACTGCTGATGCCATTTTTCCCATGTGTATATTTTCAAAATGTTGAAATATATACTGAAAATATTCTTTCAATCACCATGCATACATAGTTAACATCACACTGTCGGTTTGGCTGTTAAATACTTGACATTTACTTTTTTCAAAAGTAAATTTATTTATAGCATGGTTTTGGAGTTTCACATCAGTCATGGTTCCACAATAGAAGGTAAATCAACCTTAACTGATGGTATTTTCAGCACATTTATTATCATTTTTGTTTTTTTTAGCTGTTGTGTATTAAAATGTTTTCAAATTATCATTATCGGTAAGAGATAAGTAATCTGGAAAATTGATTAATGTTCAGATTCTTTAGTGTTTGGGTGATCTGAATGCTGAGGGGAAAATGATGTTAGTAGAGAGAATAAGAATCTTTGAAAAACTAAAGGGAATGATAAATGTACTGTTAAATATTATATAAGAAATGAATCCAGTAACATTATTCTAATTCTTTACTACTTTGAATACTGGGAAGCAAAAGTATTTCAATTGATTTTGTATTTTCTAGTAATTTCTTATCTTCACTATTCTTTATATTACCATTTTTCCATATTTGTTTTATACATTGACATAAAAATAATACAAGTCTCACATGAAACTTAAACCAAAAGTAAGGAATATATTTGGGGGGGTGCCTGGGTGGCTCAGTTGGTTGAGCATCTGTCTTTGGCTCAGGTCATGATCCTGGCATCCTGGGATCAAGCCCCGCATCAGGCTCCATGCTCAGCGGGGAGCCTGCTTCTCCCTCTCCCTTTGCCTGACTATCTGCCTACTTGTGATCTCTCTCTCTCTGTCAAATAAATAAAATCTTTTTTTAAAAAAAGGAATATATTTGGGGTTTATGCTTTACATGTAAAAATGTCAAGTAATAGAATTATTGATCTGCTGGACCCAATGTCTTCATAGGTAAGGAGGCTTTTTAATATTTAAGGAATTCTAGGTAGTATATATACAAGCAGAATGTTGAATTTCTTTTCAGTGGAAAAAATTGGTGACATTTTCTTTTGGGACATTTTCTTCTGGCCATATTTATAAGTCTGGTATCATGCAGTAAATCAAAAGGATGATTAAAAAAAGATGAAATTAACATAGTCCAGTTAATAATGTGGTTTATTTTCAATATTTTAATTTTTACTGGAACCCAAACATTTTATGGAGTAGTATATCTACAGGAAAATATTAGTATTTTGATTTGCTGCATAAAAGCAAAGATATGTACTTTCAGTTTATATGAACTGTAATTTATCAGTTGAAGAAATGCTGCCTAGATACATCTAATTTGAAAAATGGTGTCAAGATACTGACCAAAAGTGTTTTTACTATGATTTTGACCTCTAGAAATTTTAAATCTCCACATACGAGTTTTTAGTCAACATTAAAATTAGGTGATATAGGGAGAAATTAAAGAAATGGATTTTTAGTAATTTAAATATCAGACTTCCAAACTGTAACTCACACAAGAATGCTATTCAAGTAGTTTGTTACTTTAAAGATAACATCAACAAAAAGCCAATATTAAATGATGCAAATAGAAATATAAATTTGTTTCATGAATAACATAGAAGTAGGGTACAAACATCCCATGAAAATAATAGAAAACACTCAAGAAATTTAACAAGATATATTTAAATATGGAAATAAATAGAAAACTAAAACCTTTAATTTTAATTAGAAATTATATAAAGCCACTCCCTAAATAGAATAGACCAATACAAATTACTCTAGTAAAGACTGATGTGGCACGACTAAAGTAGCATTGATTTTGCAGTATTTTAATGAAAACTGATATTCTTTATTATAATCTTAACGATGTATTTAGAGATAAGGAAAATAAAGAATACCTAAAAGTCATTGAAATTGGGAAATATAAGGCAAATAAAACATAACAAAGTAAAAACTCACCCTTTCATCCACATGATGGCGCTAGAAACCGCAAGTTTGGTTGTTGGCTTCCCCCCCGCCCCTTTCCCAATAAAGGAATACAGTGTGTTAGTTTATTTTCCTTAGAAAGGAAAAGGCTACTCCTTTTTTTACTCTGATGCTGAGGCTGAAAAGGTGAGCAAATAAAAAATTATAGCAAATTGGGAATTAGGTTTCCAAAAGCTATCGTGTGGTAGTGCAATAGACATTTGAAAATTGCAACGAATTTGCGATGGTATATTCCCAGAGAAGAAGTCCAGGTTCCCGGCGCCTGCTGCTCTCGCTTCTGCTCCTCGCAGTCTGGGAAGCTGGGAGCGGCCAGGTCCACTACTCGGTCCCGGAGGAGGTCAAACACGGCACCTTCGTGGGCCGCATCGCCCAAGACCTGGGGCTGGAGCAGGCGGAGCTGGTGCCGCGCCTTTTCCGAGTGGCGTCCAAAGGTCATAGAGACCTTCTGGAGGTAAATCTGCAGAATGGCATTTTGTTTGTGAATTCTCGGATCGACCGGGAGGAGCTGTGCGGGCGGAGTCTGGAGTGCAGCATCCACCTGGAGGTGATCGTGGACAGGCCGCTGCAGGTTTTCCATGTAGAGGTGGAGGTGAAGGACATTAACGACAACCCGCCAAGGTTTTTCCGACAGGAACAAAGATTATTTATTTTAGAGTCAAGAATAGTGGATTCCCGGTTTCCGCTAGAGGGCGCATCTGATATGGATGTCGGAGCAAACGCAGAATTGAGATACAAATTAAATCCTAATGAATATTTTGATTTGGATGTTAAAGCAAATGACGAAGAAACAAACATTTTAGAGCTGGTCTTAAAGAAAGCAGTAGATCGAGAAGAAATCCAGGAACATCTTTTATTACTGACTGCAATTGATGGAGGAAAACCTGAACTAACAGGTACAGTTCAATTATTGATCAACGTATTGGATGCGAATGATAATGCCCCCAAATTTGATAAATCAGTTTATAATATCAGATTATTAGAAAATGCACCGAATGGGACATTAGTTATTAAACTGAATGCCTCAGATGCAGATGACGGCATTAATAAGGAAATAGTATACCTCTTTAGTGATCTTGTACTTGACAATGTCAAATCTAAATTTATAATCGATTCGAATAATGGGGAAATAACAGTTAAGGGAGAACTGGATTACGAAGACTGTAATTTATATGAAATTAATATTGATGCTGTAGATAGAAGTCCATTCCCATTAACTGGACACTGCAAAGTAATAGTAAAACTCCTAGATGAGAATGATAATACCCCAGAGATGGTCATAACTTCCATATCTCTGCCGGTCCAAGAGGACGCTTCAGTGGGGACTGTCATCGCCCTGATCAGTCTGTCCGACCGCGACTCTGGTCTCAATGGGCAGGTGACCTGCACCCTGTCACCCCGCGTTCCCTTCAAGCTGGTGTCCACCTTCAAGAATTACTATTCGCTGGTGCTGGACAGCGCCCTGGACCGAGAGAGCGTGGCGGACTATGCTCTGGTGGTGACCGCACGCGACGCAGGCTCGCCTTCGCTCTCCGCCACGGCCAGCATGTCTGTGGAAGTGGCGGACGTGAACGACAACGCGCCGGCATTCGCGCAGCCCGAGTACACGGTGTTCGTGAAGGAGAACAACCCGCCCGGCTGCCACATCTTCACGGTGTCTGCGCGGGACGCCGACGCGCAGGAGAACGCGCTGGTGTCCTACTCGCTGGTGGAGCGGCGCGTGGGCGAGCGTGCGCTGTCGAGCTACGTGTCGGTGCACGCGGAGAGCGGCAAGGTGTACGCGCTGCAGCC